GCGTTTAAATGCATTGGGTCATTTCAGTGATATACTGGGATCTGGTGATCTAAGATTAAATGCAATATACATTTAATGATATTAGATTTACTAGTTTACCATTGAATAATCAAAGTATTTGAGCAGTTCTCGTTGAAATTTGTTACTTGATGGAACTCTATGCATCAGTTTTAATTTTAAACTGATTCTATACATGGTATTAACAATGATGAGCTTATAATTAACTATGGTTCTCGAAAATAAGAATCGACCAATAAACATTTCTGGATTTAACATCTAAAGATCGATTCGACATATTTGTTAATATTGGTAGAGTCACCGAAACTTATATGCGTTTAACCTCATGATTTGCATAAACGAAAAGAGAATTTTGTTTCACAATGCAAATAAAGATAAAGCGTTGCAACAGACATAAAAAGCACCTTCATTTGTGAATGACACATTGTAAAGTTTGTAAATGCTGATATTGTTGATTGCTGCTTTCTATCATATCAATTATTCGTACATCAGAAGAATTTTTTCGGTAAAAGTCTTTCTAACGATCATTCTCACTATGTCAAAATAAATATCGTTTAAGAAATCTTAAAAGTATGAATCTGAGATCAAAATCAATCGAATTCCATCCAAACTATAACAATCAATTTTGTTTCAAGTTTCCATGAAATATGAGCAAAACAAAATCTTGATTAAAAACAAGTTGAAGTCATTTGATTGCTCTAAAACAAGTTTTTATTCAAAGAGTAGTGGAATGAATATTTATTGATTTTAAGAGTAACAATATATAATAATTAACGTAAGAGCGAGGCGTGGGTGGGTGTGGGTATCAGCTAGGTGTAGGGGTATATGTGTGACTAAAAAGAAGACCACACCCACACGTTTATTCTTTGTTGTGGCGACTTCTTTGAGCTTTAGTTAGAAACTCCGCTAAGCTACAAAAAGAAAAGTGACACAGAAATTTCACAGTTGAATGCCACCTTTCTTAGAATCGTATATAAGGAGAGAACATTCGCTGAAGACATTCATTCAAATCATTGCACAAACAAACATTCATCAGCTGTTCTTACCTCTTCCAACAACGACAAAACAATTTTTTTTAAATATCGATTATATTTAAACAGGTAAGTCCTGACATAAAGCTCTTGGGAAATTCAAACTCATATATTTTCACGACATTCTGACACACACTGAAGCAACCAAATGAAGAAAACAACGAAAGAGAATTTAGATAATCGAATAACATGTCCACAAACCTTTTGGAATCTTCGGTTAGATTGGAGAAGAATCTGATTGAATGATTCCAAAAGTTTTGTAGAATGTAACAATTCTGATTGTATACTCGAGGTTTGAAATATCTTTTTTGGTTTCGCAGAGATAGAGTTGAATATCGATGCATTGTATGTGGGATTTTTCGAAGTGTTTTGCGTTTCTCACATTATTGAAGACGACTTGTTCGTTATAGGTCAAAACGAATGTCAAGTAAATCAAAGATCTGTTTAACTTTCTCCAAAAATTCTCAATCAAAAAGAGGATAAAAAGATCATCCCCGTCATGAAACAGTCATCATTCTCTTATCGTACTTCCGTCATCTGGTCCGATGTTCTTACGAAGGGCGCCGTCCTTCCAAAATGGTATCTGTTGGTACGTCAACAGAAGATTTACCTGGTAAGTTGTTTGACGACCACTTGAACAGTTCAGAAAAAGTATGTTCTCTCTTTTTTCTTAGATTTTGTTACTCGTGTAGAGGAGGTCTGCCAGAGCCGCAATCGGAAATAACTATTGAAAAAACACCTCCTCAAATTGTTCACAATGACGAGGGTGTCATTATTGAAGAAGTCGAAAAAGGTATCATTAACTCACAAACAGGCTCACAATTGCTTGGAAATATTCCTTCATCAACCTTTGATGTGAGAGTGCTCTTTAATGCCTTCTGGAATTCCTCAGACGCGACTGATTTCGACCATGGAATAAGTACATTGAATTTAGAAGTAGATTTATCGATAGTTTCCTGCTCAGAAAAATGTTCAGATGTAAATGATGCTGAGAAACTAGACTTTAATTGTAAAGTATCGATTGATAAACTTGAGCATCCAGAGGATGAAAAAGTAGTGATGGACCAAGATTAATTGTTAGAATTCCGAAATCGAATACGCTAATATAAAAGAACGATCTCGAAAGAGTTAAAGAAGAAAAAAGCGTAAGAGTTCCCTACTAAGAGCTTTTTTAGCTTGTGATAGTAGGATATCAATAGGAATTGATAAGTCAAACATGGGACAGCATCCATTGTCTCCCCAGAAACAGTCGAATAAGAAAAAAAATGAAAACTTCGTAACGATAATAGTATCCCTAGTGAGTGTCCTGGGAGCCAACAGATGAGTTTCGATGTAAAGAGAAAGAGAAAAATCCCAGTGTGTAAAAACATTGGATGTCCTAGGTTTCCTTAGTAGTGAGATTTCAGTAATTCTACATGCCTCTTAGATTGTAAATGGGCATAGGTTATTAGCACTTCGGTTTCGGAATTCGTGTATCTTTGCGTATATTCTTTTTTTTTCTGTTCTGGATAATTTTATTTTTCTCTTGTTTAATTTTCATTTCTGGTCATTATATATATACACTTTTTATTTTTGTTTTTTTTTCTTCATTGTCAATAAAAATAGCCTATACAGATATTAGTTATCTTTACTTTTTTTCTAAAAATTAAATCTCTTATTTTTGCACATGGCGTCTAAAAATCAGGATGAAAAAATAAATCAATAAAATAATTTTACAGCATATGACTTCCATCTTCATCTAAGCATCGACATACAAAGACTGAACACTAGTAATAGAGAGGCTGATCGCCTAATATTAACAACAGTTTCAAGCAGTGGTCTACAGAAATACAGAAGAAAATTCTCAAATTCAAAAAAAAATACTAAAGATGAGAGTATGAATCTCGATCTGCGTTCTTGTCGTCTCTTAATCGACACCCACCACCCATACCCACACTCACATCAACACCCGCTTGGCTATAGATATAAACTTAAACAAATCTTTTCTTTAAATAATATTATCAAAATATTAAGAAAATCATTGAGTCTGTTCCACAGGCACGCTCATTAATTCAAATATGTAAGTTATATGAATTATAGCTTGGATAAATTTATGATCACAATATTCTATTAAAAATGATCATATAGTAAGATATTATAACATATCATGTGTAGAAATTCAGAATTTTATTAACATTTAATTTAAGTCCCTTTGGGCAGTTCCACTAAACTCTGCTATAGTTCATGCAAACATACAAAGACGTTCGAACACATAAAACTTCTTACATGAACAGAAAAACTGGTATCTTTCATACCATATATCCAAATGTGAAAATTCGTAATACAATTGTTGAATATGAGCATGATCATAAATCTATTTATAAACACTTGAGATGACACAATTGTACTATTAAACCAAAGAACAAAACGAGCAGAAGTTATAAATAGACTTAAAGGTATTTCCTTGGGTGTGGGTGTGGTGGACGCGGGTGTGGAGTGAGCGTCTTCTGTTCCCCACATCTCATACCCACATACCCACACTATCAAGCATTCTAAGCTCAAAACCATTCCTTTCGTATTGTTTAGAAAGTTTGTCTCTGTCAATATGTTATTCTATAAAGAAGCGAGAATTGACTGTAAGATTGAAAAAGTTTCCCTGTAGCTGAAGATAATTATATACAAGAAGTGATTTACAAATTAATTGAGCTTCTTGGTTTCGAAGTTTTTACAAGTGTTTGCCTTCTGTCTATATATCTTCACGATGGTCAAATCATAAACTATCTAATTTAAGGCTGTCAGTTTGTATTTTAAAAAAACAAGTCTTTCTATGTACTTTCAATCAATTCGTAAAGTTCAAACTATATTCAATATTTTTTTTTAAGTTGACCTTTGATAAATCTATACACTCTCATTAATGAATCTGATTATATATTTATAACTGCATATGCATTTGATTCAATTCGGTCATTATAAATGCTTGGTATAGCAGATTTACTCACTACCAAAATATTTAGAATATTTACAAGATCGTACAAATAAAAAAGATCCTTAAAAACAAGGTCGCGAAAAAGTTAAAATAATCGAAAAATCATCGGTTACTACTAAAACAATGATTACCACATCAGAATCTTTAAAACAAACATTTGTTGGACCAAAACATGATACATTAACAGATGCAATTTGTAAACATTCATGTGGATCAAATAGGGTATAGGTGTGGTAGAAGGATTACAGTAAATAGAAGAACTACACCGACATACTCCGCGTTGACTTTGTACCTCCGATCACCTGAACATCTCATGGCTTAACACTTCTTTACATTAGCTATGTGCGTTAATAATAGTTCTTCTGGTTTTTGAAAAGGCATTGCTGATATGGTAAGTACAGTAAGCCAAATATAGTGAAAGAAGCGACATCTATCAGTATTGCACAATATTTCAAGAAACCCAAAAATAAATTACATGAACAAATGAATGGATTATCAAATTTTGTTTTTTCGATGCGAGTAAATTATTCGTAGAATGTCTCAGAGAATTCTTGAATATTTTATTTATATTTTTATTTAAGGAGAATACAGTGTATTTTTTTATTTTTTGTTTTATACATTTCGTAAAATGAAGCTGAAAGGAAAAAATCCCAAAAATATTCTGTGTTTTTTCTTATATGTAGGATCAACTATTGAAAAATGTGACTATGCTTTTATTTATATTCGAAATAACGTATTTTTTCTTAAACAACAAGTTTTTTTTTATGATAACATGCGAAAGTCATTCGATACGTTCTTTATTATTGAGATATATGAATCAGACAGTATATTTGTTCTCTTTCCTTTATTCATCTTACAGCATGCTGTAGTAATCTGCTTATTATTCATCGTGTCTTTCTTTTTACTTAGTATTGACTCACGTCTGAAACATCTATATAAGTAAGAGAAAAAAAGCATACACGTATACCTATTTACAACATTTCATAATGCTTCGAATCAAACAAGATCCACAAACTTCAGTCCTTACGCAACAGCAAATTTTTGTACCGTTAAAGCGAGTAAATGTGGAAGCAACAATTCGTTCATTTGCTGCCGATGTAACTATAACACAAATATTTCGTAATGATGAAAAACAACCAATTGAAGCTGTCTATTGTTTTCCAATTGAGGAACAAGCAGCGATTTACTCTTTTACAGCTTGTATTGACGATCGCGAAATTGTCGCTCAATTGAAAGAAAAAAAAGAAGCACAACAAGAATATAATAATGCTTTACAACAAGGACATGGAGCTTATTTATTAGAACAAGATGAAAATTCTCAAGACAATTTTATTATTAATGTTGGTGCTTTACCTCCATCACAAGAATGTACTATTACTATTGCTTATGTTACTGAATTAGATTTTGTACAAGGTTCAACAATTCGATTTGTAGTTCCAACAACTATTGCACCTCGTTACAATCNTTCAGACATTCGAGGATGACTGATTCGTATGATTCACTTTTTGAAGTACACATAACTCTCGGATTTAAATCCGAAGTTTCCGCATTTATTTTTTGTTAATATTTTATTTAATTGATGAAAATTTTGTTTCTTACAAAAAATATTCGAATAAAACGAAATCCTAAATATATTTATTAAGAATAAAAATCGAACTATGACAATTAAATATTAATTAAAAAAAAACAAAAGCTGATTATTTGGTTATTGTATATTGACAGTGTCATTATTGATTATCGATTATCGATTATTTATTCAAGTTTTTTATTTAGATATTTTAATTTTTAATTTCGATGAAATATAACATTTGTTAATGAGTTTGTTTTTTTATTTAATTGTTCATAATTAAAAATGTTTTTTATTAATTAATACATGCGAATGTTTGTTTTTTATTAATAATATTTTATAGGAATGAATCTTTCACAATTCATTTTTATTTAAATTCGTCAAAAAAGAAAAAAAGAAACTTATGTTAACATATTCAATTTAATATGATAAAAGATTTTACTTTATTGAAATAAAAATGAAAATAATAATTTGATTAAAGATTCAAAAAAAAATCTATTTATAATTTATATTAAATTTTTGATAAATAATAATTATAATATAGATAAAAATTGATACACTATTATTAATAATTAATTTATATATACTGATATATGTTGAATTTGTTTTTTTACATATAAACAAATCTATTTGCTTATTGAGAACTATTTAACTGATGAAGACGTTCGATTTATTTCATTTTTCAATAAAAATTTTAATTTAACCATTTACACGATTGCATTTATTGTGTAGAGTTGTCGTTGAATTAACCACGGAAATCGTTTATGCAAGTGATAATAATAATATTTTAACGCTTAAATTTAGTCTAAGTGATTTAAATGTGTTGATTGAGAATGAAGGAAAAAAAGATTGATTATTATTCAATGTCATTAAATATGAATTTATTTTTAACTGTATTTTATTAATATTATTATTTTGTCTATAAATATATGTAAATCTATTTATCGTGATTTTTCTTTCTCGAAAAATAATTCATTTCAACAGATAAAATATGGTTACACACATTCAAAGTAACCTATTTCGAGATTTAAATCAACGCCTTTATATTTATTCATTTGTTTTGTAAAGGCCTCGTCCACAATGAAGACTATAGCAATATTATAGATGGATAGAATAATATTTTTTCCTAGTCTTTATCCTCACTACGAAATAAGATTAGGGGTGGCACTTTATCTTTACTTTATAGAGTAAGGTAAAGTAAAGTTACTTTACTTTACTCGATAAAATAAAGTAGGCCTACTTTACCCGAAAGGTAAAGTAAAGTAAAGTAAAGTGAAGTTTCTCTTACTTTACCGAAAAAGTACGATGAAGTAAAATAAGATAAAGTAAAGTATGCACTTGATGATTATTGATTAATTAGTTCATTATCACGCATTAATCACATTCCAATGCGTCAAAAGTACCGTGGAATTACGAACCGAGGGCCTCGAGCAATCTGGACCTAATTTTATTACCTTAAAAATCAGCATTCAACCCTGACTATTTTTCATAATTAATTTATTTTCTACTTTGTTACAACCCAATTTTTCACACCTGGACTCCCCCTCAGGTATCGAAAATAAATTTTTGTCACTGTTCTATTACAAGTCTTTATAGTTCAATAGTACCAAGTGCCTTGATTACAAATATCTCTTTTTTTTTCAAAAGTACTCAGATAATAAAAAAGATCTGAAGAACTCTCTGAAAGCCTTACAAACCAGCTTTTAACCAGAAAGTTCATTAAAATACGGTTCTATTTCGTCAAAAATAGGTTCATTTGACGCAGAATTTGTTTTCTCTATCAGGGAATATAAGAATTTGTAGAGTATTTGATTTTTTTTCTATCGATAATTGGTAAATACCGTTCCGATTGGGTCATACTGTCTATCATAATATTTTTTCAGCTTCACGAAATTATAGTTGCCACAGAAGTAGTGGTTAGATTTTTTAACTAAACATGCAACTCAATTCGCTCTTTCTGATAACACTATTTCCGACTTGAAATTTCATATCTAGTAAAGCACTTTTGCTCAAAACCCTATACTTCAGAGCCTATTTGTGTCTTTTTTTACTAATATTCTATGGTTTTCGAATAGAAAAACCCTTGTTTGACTTCAGACAAGTATTACATTTGAAATGACCACAGGAAGCTCAGATGTTCTATGTGAGTTTCGAACCGTTTTTGTCAATATTTTTTCGACTGAGTTTTGATTTTCGTTCCCCCTCAGGAATATAAGGGAAAATGAATTTCATCAAAACAACCATTTATATCGCCAGACACATTCGCTATAGCTTTTAAATTGCCATGTCGATGTCCTGAACTGCGTTTCCATTCTTGAAACGGCTTTTTGATGAAATTCATTTTTGATTATATTCCTGAGAGAGATTAGGGGTCAAAATTTGACCGAAAATAAGTGGCAAAAACAACTTGAAACTCACATCAGAGATGCCGAAAATCGCGCTTAGGTGAACTCATTGGTTACCCATACTCCAGTTGATTCCTCTGTGGGTAGGTTCCAACCCAAGTCTTGATGTTTCTTTCATCTCATCGGACATATGGTTAGGTTGAGTAGGTTCAACTCTACTCCTGGAGTAACTCAACGGATAGCCTTGGCCATTGTGACTTTCAGTTTTCTATTATATTTTGATACAAATAAAAACTTAGTTTGCCTATGTGAAAATTGTCTATAACATGGAAGAGTGATCGTTCTACAGGCTAAAAAATAAAAATATAGAGATTTTCTCAAAAAGTTTCATGGAAAAGTAAACAGATTTCTTTTACACAACTGAAGAGGTTTCTCTAAATTTTCATAAATTGATAGCAAGCCTTTTTAATTCTAATCGAGCACGCTTTCCGTTACATGCTTCCGTCTATAAGCATGAAGAAAAGAATAATTTTATTGTCATCCTTAATCATATCACACAATCATAAAACCGAAATGGTTCATTTCATTTGACAAAGAAAGAGTTAGAAATAAATTCGATTACAAAGATTAACAAGGCTTTTATAAAACTGGTGGCACTGCAGAGTGTTAGCGTCAGTAGATGGTGCTTACTGACGCTAAACATTTATTTTATGTTATCTATTTTTTGAATCTCTGATTTGATTTGTTACGTAATCTCTCAACTATGATTCATCTCATGATTATCTTTTTGTCTTTCGTTATTGCGCAGTTGTTGATGTTCTATCGTATCGATGACTCGATACTCAATATATTCTATATATGACACGATGACAAAGTCGATTATTAAAACATGTTTAGCTCCCTAATTTTGGCAGACTAAATATTAGTTCTACCATTGCTACATAATCCCCAAAACGAGAGCTAACTTTTGGTGGAGAAGTTGGGCAATTCGTCTGCCCGTTTCTTTTCATATATTATTATTTCTTCTAATCCATTATTCGTTCCTTCTGATCTTTTCTGCAAAATTAATTTGCATTGGCTTATTATAATTATTAAAATTATATCTGTTTAACCATACTACACTACAACAACACGTAACATTTTATTACAATGGACACTAAAGATAATTTTGACATTTTCGTATCGAAAAACTTTGTTCGTTTTTCTGGCATAGAAAATGTTTTTGAGTGGTTAGACGAAACTGAAAGTAAATTCCACGAGTTTCGTATGGTACGAAGTCTTCGTTTTAGAGCAATTCCTATGTTGATTGAAGGCGACATAGAATTAAAATCCTCTCGAATTCGAGAGTATATTCGAACTTTTGAAGATTTCTATGTATTCTTGTTATCATTATACGATCCAACGTTTTCTACTTTACCTGAAGCACAAATCTATTTAAAGTTACTGGAGAATTCGAATAATATAGAATCTGAATGTTTCGGTGAACATGATCATTGTCAGACAAAACCTTTTGACAATTCCTATGAGTTCTTGTCGTCCGAATCTGTAACCAATTGTTCACTTCCATTGGAAGTGAATCTATCTACTACCGTTACAGATAATGTGTCGAATGAGGAATTTTCGATTTCATCTATATCTGCCGATAATACAATGATATCGTCTAATAGTTTCGATTCTATAGTGTCTGAACAAGAAATTGATGTACCCTCGTTAGATATTGATATGAATATTGGTGCCGTCAACATACTTGGCGTGATGCCAGAAGAAAAGGTACCGATGTTTAGTACTGAGTATTCTTCGGTCGTTATTGATAAAGCTCTACAGAATCGTTTCAAAGTTAATAATGGAAGTTTGAAAAAGAAGTTGAAGTCTTCTATGCGTAGTCAAATCCATAGACTAGAATCGACTAGCAATATTAATCATGGTTCAAAGTTATTACACATTTCTAATCTTTATCAACTAGATTTTATTCTTGATCCATTGCGAACTAGTGAACTTCGTCGGTATATGCGTAATAGAGTAAAACATAGTGTATGTAGAACCATATTGTTTAAGACCAGAAAAAAGTACATCAAACATTGATTCGACAAGTACTTTAGGAAAACACAGTTGCATCAATTGCTTGAGACTTAATCGATGATACGTATTCAAGTTCTATATGTTATTTGTTTCGTTTGTTTTTCTCGTTCTCTTTTGCTTATGCATACCGTTGTTCTTCTTTTCCTATGCTTTTTTCTAATTTGTGCTACATATGTTTGTTTCTTTCTCACGCGTTATTTTGTTGTTTCTTTGTGTTTTTGTTTTTGTTAGCTAGTTCTTTCCTTTTCGAACGATCACGATTAGTGATCTTCGTGGAAGGGGGAGGTGTTAGCGTCAGTAGATGGTGCTTACTGACGCTAAACGTTTATTTTATGTTATCTATTTTTTGAATCTCTGATTTGATTTGTTACGTAATCTCTCAACTATGATTCATCTCGTGATTATCTTTTTGTCTTTCGTTATTGCGCAGTTGTTGATGTTCTATCGTATCGATCACTCGATACTCAATATATTCTATATATGACACGACGACAAAGTCGATTATTAAAACATGTTTAGCTCTCTAATTTTGGCAGACTAAATATTAGTTCTACCATTGCTACATAATCCCCAAAACGAGAGCTAACATTTGGTGGAGAAGTTGGGCAATTCGTCTGCCCTTTTCTTTTCATATATTATTATTTCTTCTAATCCATTATTCGTTTCTTCTGATCTTTTCTGCAAAATTAATTTGCATTGGCTTATTACAATTATTAAAATTATATCTGTTAAACCATACTACACTACAACAACACGTAACATTTTATTGCAATGGACACTAAAGATAATTTTGACACTTTCATATCGAAAAACTTTGTTCGTTTTTCTGGCAAAGAAAATGTTTCTGAGTGGTTAGACGAAACTGAAAGTAAATTCCACGAGTTTCGTATGGTACGAAGTCTTCGTTTTAGAGCAATTCCTATGTTGATTGAAGGCGACATAGAATTAAAATACTCTCGAATTCGAGAGTATATTCGAACTTTTGACGATTTCTATGTATTTCTGTTGTCATTATACGACCTAGAATTTTCTACTTCATCTGAAGCACAATTTTTTCTAAAGTTACTCGACAATCAGTTCGACAATCCATCTAATGCAAAAGCTGAGTGCTCTGATGAACATGACTATTGTCAAATAAAATCTATTGACTACTTTTGTGAGTCCTTGTCGTCTGAATTTGAAACCAATTGTTCATTTCCATTGGAACAGAAGTTTCTACCTATCGTTACAGATAATATATCAAATGAGAAATTTTTATATTCATCTATATCTGCCGAAAACGTAATAATATCGGCTAACAGTTTCGATGTTATAGGGTCTGCACAAGAAATCGATGTACCCTCATCAAATATTGATACGGATATTGGTGCCGCCAACATACTTGGCGTGATACCAGCAGAAAAAGTACCGATGTTTAGTACTGAACATTCGTCAGTCGTCATTCATAAATTATTACAAAATCATTTGAAAGTTAATGTAGGAAGTTCGAAAAAGAATTTAAAATCATCCAAGCGTAGTAAAATCTATCCGTTACAATGTAGTACTGACATTGGTTACGGTTCAAAGTTATACATTTCTAATCTTTATCAACTAGATATTATTTCTAATATATTGCGAACCAGTGTTCTTTGTCGATATATTCGTAATAGAGTAAAGCATAGTGTATGGAAAACTATGTTGTATAAGAAACGAAAAAAAAAAGATATTAAATATTTATCGACCGATGCTTTTGGAGAGAAAAGTTACATCGATTACTTGAGAATTAACCGATGATAGGCACTCACGTTCTGCATGTTATTACTTTCGTCTATTTTCTTGTTCTCTGTCGTTTGTGCATACCGTTGTTATTTCCCTATGCTTTTTTGTAGTTTGTGTTACTTGTACCTGCTTGTTTCTCAAACGTTCTTTTGTTATTTCGTTGTCAATTTGTTAGCTAGTTCTTTCCTTTTCGAACGATCACGATTAGCGATCTTCGTGGAAGGGGGAGGTGTTAGCGTCAGTAGATGGTGCTTACTGACGCTAAACGTTTATCTTATGTTATCTATTTTCTGAATCTCTGATTTGATTTGTTACGTAATCTCTCAACTATGATTCATCTCGTGATTATCTTTTTGTCTTTCGTTATTGCGCAGTTGTTGATGTTCTATCGTATCGATCACTCGATACTCAATATATTCTATATATGACACGACGACAAAGTCGATTATTAAAACATGTTTAGCTCTCCATTTTTGGCAGACTAAATATTAGTTCTACCATTGCTACATAATCCCCAAAACGAGAGCTAACAGTCTTAACAATGTCTCGGTCGAGTTCGAAGATGAGAAGGATCCATCACGAAATGGCTAAGTTATCGAAAAAATTGTCATTGTTGAGAAGACCATCCCTGAGGGGGAGTACAGAGATTTTTTCAAAAAAATTTTTTTCTCAAAATTCTTCACAACATATATAAATCGACTCAGTTTTTAACGCTAATTCCGAATCTGATATTAGGTTTGAACCAAATTGTAGCCTTCTAACAAAACATCGCCTGAAAAAGGTCTCAAAATGCACAAAAACTGCATCCAGAAACCAAATTACCTAGATGTGTGTCAGATGACCAGTAGCATTGAGGTTTCCCAAATGCCTGATTTTCTAGCTAGTCAAAAGGACTATCGAAAGGTAAAAACTCTAACTCGATACCTATTAATATTGGTGATCTATTAGGAAAATACTGATGCGTGTATCTATTATATATCTCTTATAGATTGATGAGGTTGCTTACGATCATAATCCTACTAAATACAAACGCAAATCCATTCAAAAATAACTCTTCTTACTCAGTTTTTCAAGCTAAACACGAATCTGAACTCAATTTTTGTGATTTCTAAAGATATTGTATCACTCTGAGAGTAGAGTAAGTGGTCACAGGATAGGGTCGCATATAGTGTGGTCCATGCTAACTTAGCACGCCTGTATTTTCTCCTTGTAATTTAGTGATAAAAAACACAGTGAATATACCTTTTCACTTTTTGAAGTACACATAACACTCGGATTTAAATCCGAGGTTTTCGCATTTATTTTTTCCTTAATATCTAGTCGATGCACAGTCTGAAACACAAACATCTATCTATTCATCTCCATTTTATTCGTCTTCAACTGGCTATAAAATGAGAGCTCGTCTTTATTTAAATGGTGACGGAAATGCTCGTCGCACACATATGTCATTCTTTTTTGTGCTGATGCGAAGCGTGAACGATCCGATTCTTCAATTTCCGTTCAACTATAAAGTCACATTTTGTTTGTACGACCAGACGCCTGCACAGCGCCATATTATTGATTCATTTCGACCAGATATTCGATCGAGTAGTTTTCAACGACCACGATCAGATATGAATATAGCCAGTGGTATACCGAAATTTTTCCCGTTGGAAGTAATTCAACAGGAAGGAAATCCTTATGTACGAAACGACACAATGTTCATCAAAGTGATGGTTGATTTTGGTGATATACCTAAAACGCTTTTGCCTTTTGCTTTGAGTCTCAATTCAGGTCTACGAACTCATATTCAACAAATGATAATCAAGCAAGAAGCCAAACGAAGATCTCAACAGCAGTCTGACGAGCAGCCGCATATACCTCCCAACTAGTCCACCGTTTAATTTATACAAAAGATTTACTCCACAATCAAGAATATCGAAATGATCCGGAATAAATCAGTATTTTGTATTTGTTCCATGACTTCGTCACATTTGATCTGTCGAGGTCAGATTTGTCCTATATTTCTATCACTTTTCCTATTTTTCCTATATTTTGTGAAAGAAAGTATAAAAATGCATAAAAATCTGTGATTTCCATCGTACATAGTCTTCACTTGTCAGACGGAACATATACAATACGTAGTTATATGCTTTCTATGCTCATAACTATTATAATAACATTTGAAATACAGAAAATTTGTCTTTTTTTTTACTTGATAAAATGGATTAAATGAAAAAAAATAGCTAAATCCTTAAATACGAGATATTCCAGAAAAAGCAAGCTTATGTTCTCAACGTGATGGTATTCTTTTTAAAACTGCTTATTTCAATCTCATGTAAGGGAATCTTAGAAATGCTGAAGCAACACTCATGGTCACTGTTCTTGTATTCAATAAAATCAAACTCGTTGAAGCTTTGGCAATCTATTATGCCAACTTGATACTAAATTATTACGAGGGTGTGGTTGTGGGTATGGACTTTAGGTGTGAATGTGGAGTGTGGGCGTGTGATTACAGACAGGATGGAAAGTCACAACCACACCCACATCCGCACCCTCGCCATCCCAAAAGAGTGAGCCACAAGCAAGTTATCAGCCAAACTATCTATGACCATTGCAGAATCTATAACTTGAAAACAACGAAACCTTAGGAAGTTAGTCCTTCTTTATTTAAAGACTCTATACATTGGCTATTTCCGATAAAAACTTCGTTAATGCTCATCCAGTCCTTATAAAACCAGATTCATTTTACTAAAGACACGCGTGACATGACAAACCGTCAGCAAGCAACGTGTCTCCCACAATCCAGTCTGGATTGGCATATAAACTCCATATATATATTACTGGCTCCTCCACTGACATGCAGCGTCCCCTAAAATTTTCAGCCTAACATCACTTACTGCATAATATTCAAGCCGAGAAACTTTTTCAAAAACGCGTTTTGACGCATGAAAAAGTGTCTTAAAAATAAAAAAACGGTTTTTTTTCGTTCACAATCGCGGTTCCCGGCTGTGAGTGAAAAAAAAACATTTTTTGCCGTTTTTGTGCGTTTACACGCGTTTTCAGCCAAAAAACGGTTGTAGAAGCGTATAAACGCGCACAAAAGGGCATAAAAACGAGTGATCTGTTTCATAATCGTAAACTGTCATTGTATTCATGATTAGAATGAGCGATNTGCATCGTACTGCATGGTGCAATGATGTCCATTCGTTTATATCGCAAACATGTGCATCAGTCCGATGCTCGAGGAGTGCATCAACAATACCAACATGACCTACAGGAAAACGAGCTTTGGTGTAATATATGAATAGACAATGCATTAGTATCCAAAGTGGCATTTGGAACAAATTGAAAAAAGATAATGCTGGATGAAAGTTAGCGTGAGACTTTTGATACTCGATGGCGGCAGCTATGAATTTGACTTATGAATGAATTTTTTATTATCGAACTGTTTAACTGTAGACATGCACATTTTCAAGACGAAAATGTATTCGATGCCTTCATTGTTTTAGAAATACTATCGAGATTTCGTTTTTGTTGAAATATAATCAGAGATATTCAAAATAAAGAGTGTATATTAAGTTGTGATCCTCTTAAGCAATACACTTTTCTATGTGTCTTTAGCGAGACGGTTAATATTAAGAGGATATTAATATGCTAGGAGAGCCCTAATCTCATTCTTCAACGTTTCTAAATTTTTCCTTCCAGGATCTTGAAAGATATTATTCTTTTAGGATATTGTTCAGATTTAAACAAGATCCTATCGATTTCTTGCATTATTTTATTTTTAAGATAACTATCAGAAACGCGTCAGATTCAGTCAAGGTCCTAATTGTTCTCCTAAAATTCTCTGACAGCAAGAATCAATCAAGAAATACTCAAGATTTTCTATAAGATCTTGTCAAGTTTCAGCACATCATTTTTCTTACAAAGCCCGTTTAGGATCTAGTAGGATCTTGGTTAGATGATATTGTGCAGCGTTCTGTTCAAATATAGAACAAGATCTTGACGGGATTTTGTCATGTTCCCAGACAAGTCTGAAAATATTTGTTTGCAAGTATCAGTCAAGTTTAGATAGGATCCTACCACATCTTCTAGCAAATCTTAGTCTGATCTAAGAGAAAAACAGAGTCACAGAGTCTTGGTAAAAAAAATCTCAGATTTTAAACCAAACTGTAGGGATTACGGTTCGTATAATCCTCTCGTAAAACTCATGCTGTTTCTTGTTAAGATCTAGAAAAACTGTACCAGATTTCGGGCAGCGATCATTGACAATATATTAATCAGGTCTTTTTCTCTTCTTTATAATATGTTGTTTTCAGAATTACATAGGATTCTACTACATACTACAACAGACATTATCAAATATCTACTGAACTTTATCAAATTCTGCTACGCTGCCATACACAGCTCGATATTACTACAAATGATGTCTTCTAGTTGACACCATTGCTCAAAACTTACTTTAAATTGGCAGAGTAACCATTCTAATTAGTTTGTGTACTTTCTTACGCTTGGTGGATTAACAGAATTTATTTTGAAAATTCGAGTGTCCAGTGCCAAAGAATTAGCACTGCCAGGGGACTAAGTCGCGTTGTTTTCTGCATACGTGATTCTTGTGATGGTAGACAGGTAAATATCCTGAGATTTTCTATGAAAAACTGTGTGCATCAGAAGTAAGGATTAAAAGTAAAAATCTCTAACATAGTCTTCCTCTATCTAAGTGCATTATTTCCAATCTACTGTTGACAGCTAGTCTTGAAAAGATTATGAAATTGCATTCAAGGTGACGTAAACTACTAAGTTTATTGAAGAAACGCATGACATTCGTAAGAGAGAAAGAGTATGAAACCAATGGGGGAAACAGCGGATCCTGATATCCCGAATACTGGTGGAGATACGGACGGAATACAGACAGAATTCAGGGATACGATATACATATGGTGGGATAGGGAGATATGTTGGGTACATAACGAAAATACAGCGAACATACGATCAGAATGCGATGAAAACCTGCCATGACCATGCCAGTAGCAGTTGTGTAGAAAAAGAACGGTGCATTTAGTATTTTGCAAATATCTCATTCAGCTATTATCACGGATTGTGGAGATTAGATTCTAATGAAAGCCCAATGAATTATCTACAAGATCTGTATCAAACTCTTCCTGTACAAAATGAAACAGAAATATGAATCCTGCAAACTCAACGTTCATAAGAGGACCAACTTTTTAAATCATTTTGCTAATAATACTTTGAATTTTCCTGAGAATTTCATGAACAAATAAAATAGTAATAAAGATGATTTCTAGCATTGTCAACCCTGATATCTCTCGTCGTACAGCCCAACATCCACACCTATCCATTTGAAGATAGAAAATTTGCTTTTTTTTATAAATCAGTTGAAACTGAGAAAATAACCAGGTATTTTTGCTAGCTGACTTAAAGAAACAAAATTTAGTTCAATTGCTGTCATGGTATCGAATGAAATGCTCTTGTACCGTCAAAATAAAAAAGTTCGAGCTCAAAAGATGCTATATTGACTTACGTAATTATAGCTATCTTCCTCCTCTCCCGTAGCTCGGGAGCTGTAGATGAAAACAGGCCTATTCGTGTATGGCAAATTCAATGACCTATCGCTTAGTCTGCGGATAGTCTCAAGTATCTACAAGTAAAGCTGAGTGAGATACTGACACAATGCTATTGGTTCTATTTGGTTGATGCAAAAGTGTTTGCCGATTTTTTTGAAAATCTTTTAAAATCATCAGCGAATATAATGCATGTGCATCTTTTGCGTATATCATAACAGTTGGTTAACGCTATAAAATGGCATTAATAAATATTTTCAAATGGAAATAGTTTAAAATAAAAAATGTTCGAGATTCCTATTCATGTTCAGCACTTTATTTTATATGAGTTCCAACTCGGCAAAAGTGCAAGCGCCGCTGCCCGCAATATTTGTGCTGCCTTCGGCGAAGGCACTGTTACTGAACCCACATGTCACCATCGGTTCAATAGATTTCGAGAAGCCGATATATCACTGGAAGATCACCTCAGAGCCCGACGCTCTCTCGAGTGGATTTATATTGTACAACAGACTTTTCATTCATGTCCACAGTGAAGATGAAATACTTTCTCACCTTTTGCAGCAGCCATATGTAAACTTGTGCGCTGCTGATCATCACACACATTAATCACCAACGGATCAGCATATTTGAGCATTTCATTTATGACATCCAAATGTCCAGCTTGAATAGCCACGTGTAGAGGTGTTAGTTTTCCTTTATTCTTTTTTATCAATATTGCGTGAGCGTGTCTAATTGCTGATCCGTAATGAGAAGTGGCCTTCATAACCTTAGTAACTGATAGTTCTGGTGGTACTCGCCTATTAGCATGGTGGTTGATCATTGCTAGAAGCGCTGGTGAGTCTGAAAAAGTCATCGTGGGTGAATTGTGATCGGTTATGTAGCCTAGCAATAGCTGTGTCATGTATAAATTCCCAACTTGAGCACACGTATGTAGAGGTGTATCACCCAGCACATCGGTGGCGACTGCTAATGTATTAACCATGAAACGAGAATCAAATAGTGTTTTAGTGATCTCTTTGTTATGAACTTTTGTACAAATATGTAATACTGTGCGAAACGAGACATCACTGACTAATTCAAATGCTTCTTGTGTAAAATATTTATTGTTAAGAAGCTCTTTGACACATTGAAGTTGGCGATGTTGGACAGCAACCATCAATGGGCTCAAGCCAGTCTGTTTATCTCGATACATGATGCTATTCGGATTGATCAGATGAGAAACCGTTTTGTGACCATGTAATTGGCGACAAGCAAAAGAAAGTATGCTATGATCGTGATTGATTACTTCCTCATATTGTTCTTTCAGAAAGGACAATACTTTTTTTTCAGGATTGCAAACGGCGACGTCCTCTAGAGTAATAATATCTGTCATAAAGTCAACGTCTCGGATGTGTCTATGATCAAAAAAATGTTTGATAACTTCGGGATCATTGTACTCGATCGTAATGTCAATAGGCGTCTTCTTATCGTGTGTTTCACGGTTGAATAACTGTGGAAAATTCAAGAACAAGCCAAGCATATTGTCATTTTCAAGAAATCGGCAAGCATAGTGGAGCGGAATGGCGCCATAAATATCGGGGATCTGAAAGAAAGTTTAACATGCTAAAGATGCAGTTCGAAAGTGTTGAGAATAAAACTGCTTGTCAGCAATGCTAAACAGAAAGCGATCTTAAAAGGAGAACTTACATCGATGTTTGAACCATATTCTATCAGATGCTTGGCATTTCCTATGCAATTGTAGATGACAGCAAAATGCAACGGTGTTCGTCCTTGACTGTCTTGAATGTTGACCTTGATTTTCGGCTGATTTAGCAAATACTCCAAAATTGAGGACTTATCAAGAAAAAAAGAATTTTACTGAGCATAAGTGTAAAACAGACACTTTAGTCATCGTCACTTACAGGCTGATCAGGATGCTTGATATCCGCCAAGCGAGCAGCGATATGAAGTAATGTTTCGCCATTCCAACTGACCAAATTGACATCTTATGGAAAATGATATAAAGTAAAAAGCTTTCTGCGAGATACTAACGGTACTATCGTATGAAACTCGAGATCAGTGAAACTGAGGTCAGCTGTGAAACATGTTGACTACGAAAAATAACTAATCTTTGTCTTCATATCTGTAGACTAGAGGTCAATCAATAAAGTAGCTCTTGCAACTATAGAGTGGCTTGCTGCAACACAACCGAAATCACCCATCACTCAAAACGGAACATATGTCCGTATATATCAATGAAGCAAAATCGACATCTTTTCAAAAGTGCACATTGTTTCGAAATCACGGAGCCGAGATCGAGATCAAAACTGAAAAGTTAGAAATATTCGGAAGCAGCACAGAAACTCGGACCTAAAAATGGCTCTTTGAAGGTCTCTATATGAGACATGATTGGGTTTGTTTCAGTATTGCAAAACACGTTTACTAGATCGATCACTATATTTGGCACTTTCAATCCAAACTTATACTATCTCGTATGAATAAGATTGCTTCGCCACACTTATCACATTTCCGAGATGAGGGAGACGTAAATGTGAATACAATTATTCTGTTGTATACGTCAGCATTAAATAACAGGTTTTCACAAAATGAAACAGGGTGAAAGAATCTTACTGCAGCCGAAGTCATTGATGAGACATCTGCAGAAAGGAACGTTGTTGAAAAGAGCACCGTAGTGTAATATTGTATACTGATCTGGCACGTTGAGTGTCTCTAACATTTTCGTGATTTGTGATTTGTTGGAGGAATGATGTTTTCTTATGAAGTTAATGAGGTGCTTTATCTCCTTTTCGGTATAACCACGAGATGCTTCTAGTTTTTCGATTATTTCGTCCAGGTCTTCTCTGTTATAGTCATTAGCCGCTCCACTTTCTCTCAATCTGTCCATGAACTCTTTTCTATTGTAATTATTTTTCTGAAGATTCTTGAAGATGTTGTGTATTTGAGGAGAGACGAGCGGAACTGGGGTGCATGCGATCTAAATATTGGTAGGTGTATGTTGAGTATTCTATAAGAATCATATAGGTAAATACTCGTTTACCTCTTTGAGCACAGCAACAAAATTATGGTGAGTCGTTTTCTCCATTTGTTCTTCAAGTTCGCATATTTGTCCGACGAGTTCAGCCATTGGAAGAACGATACTATCATCTTTTGAAGTTTTGACCCCCGAGTGCATTCCTATTGATAATGGAGTCTTTGAATTTTGTTTTTGGGGAAAATATTGTGACGTTCACAAAAAATAAAACTCTTTCATTTGTACAGACTCAATGAATGACATTCGTCAAGCAGAAGAAAAGCAAAATATTGGGCAAAACGAAAATTAGCTTAGGTATGCTTTTTTCTGTACTCTTACGATCATCCATACACAACATTGAATGTTCACACGCAAAACTTCAATAATGGAGAATAATAAAAAGTTAACATCGATTCATATGAAAAGTAGGATTCTATTTCAATGTGTTGCCATAGAAACAAAATCAAAATAGCAACAAAAAAATCATGATACGAAAATAAATACATTCGAATAGCACACGTAAGAACGATGGTGTGGGATGTTAGGATCTAAAGGTGTCTCTATACTCACACTCCTTAAATAGTCTTAAGAGGAAGCATATCCAAGTTTACTCATCGATTGAGCTAATATTTTGCCGCGTAGGACTCGATGAGGCTATAAAAATTTTAAAAGGGTTCGTTCAGATTTCATATGCTTCTTGAGCTACTATCATTTCACTGAATATTTCATCTCTGGTAAGACACTTGTGAAAAGATCGAATTACGAAATTTCGATTAAAAGTTTTCTGCACAGGTACACCTCATGACAATTAAAATTCCCTAAAATTATCAGCACAAAAGGATGCGTTCTATTCGAGATATTGAAAAAACTAAAAATAATCCTGTGTCACAAGGAAAGGTCAGAAAGCCGAGTTTGTTCAGCATTCGATATCTCAAAAAGAGTATATCTTTTTGGG